AAAGAAAGCTACTAGGGGATGGAGAGATGGCTCAGCAGTTAAGAACACTTGCTGCTCTTCCAGAAGACCCAGGTTCAATTCCCAGCACTCAGACGGTATGACTCACAATTGCTGCAACTCCAGCTCCATGCAACCCAACACCCTCTTCTGGCCTCCTTAAACATGAAAGCACATGTGACAGACATTCACACAAACACACACATATACATAAATAAAATAAAAAAATAAATCTTTTTTAAAAAAGATGCTAGGGAACCAGCTCATTCTGAAAATTGGTAAGTAAAGCTAATCAAACATGGAGCTGGAGAGATGGCTGAGGTTAAGAGCACTGGCTGGTTCCCAAAACCCACATGGTAACGCACAACCATATGTATCTCCAGTTCCAGGGGACCTGACGCCCTCTTCTGACTCTCTCGGGCACTGTATGCATGTGACAAATATATAGGCAGGTGAAACACTCATATGCATAAAATAAAAATAAATGAACTAAGTATTCACCTTTTTCTGTATGAATGGTCTACAGGGTAATGAAATAGGTAACAAGGAAAGTTTGTGTGCATGTGTGTGGAATGGATATGTGTGTGTGTGTTTTGCTTAGGCAGGTGGATGCTATATGTATGGAAGCCAGTGGCCGATATTGCTCCCCACCTTATTTCTGGAGACAGGGTCTCTCACTGGGCCTGGAGCTCATAGATAGTCAGGCTGCCTCGACAATTAGCTCCAAGGATCTGCCTGTTTGTCTCCAGTATTGGGGACCCCAACTTGGGCCCAGTCCTTGGATGACAAGCATTTTGTTTTTTTTTTAAAAAAATATTTTATTTATTTTTATTTTATGTGTATATGTGTATTGCCTACATGTAGGTAAGTGCACTCTTGTCGTGCAGTGCCCATAGAGGACTGCAGAGGCTGGCAGCTCTCCTGGAACTGGAGTTACAGACAGTTGTTAGCTGCCATGTGGGTGCTGGGATTCAAACCTGGGTCTTCTGCAAGAACAACCAGTGTTCTTAACCGCTGAGCCATCTCTCCAGCCCCATTCTTACTTTTTTCTTTTTCAAGATAAAGTCTCTCTCCTGTAGCCAAGAATGACCTTGAATTTTGGAGCCTCCTTGCCTCCATATCCTTAGTGCTGAGATTACAGGCCTGTGCCACTATGCTGGGGATTGAACCCAGGGCCATGTGCATGCCAGGCAGTCTACCAATTGAGTTACAATTCCAGTCCAATTTTTTGAAGAAATGATTACTATCATTATTTTGGGTTTTTTTTTTTTTTTGAGACAAGTTCTTAACACTATAGCCCTGGCTGACTGTAGTCTTAGTTAACCTGGAGCTCTCCTCCTGCCCCAGTGTCCTGAGGGCTAGGATCACAGCATGCCTATGATATTCTGATATTGTTAACTCCTAGTAAGAAATCTAGTCAATCACTTCTTGGCCTTTTGGCTAGGATCACGTGAAGAAATCTAGTCAGCCCATCCGTGGCTGCTAAGTCTTTGTAATGGGAAGCTCTTTTCTGATTTTGCAGTGCAGGGCATCACACCCAGGACATCACATCACCCATGCTAAGCAGATGCCTTACCACTGAGCTGCAGTGTCAGCTCTGCTGGGAAGCATCATAATGGGAAGCTAGCAACTTCTGAATCCAAGACTCAGCCTTTACATTACAGAGATAAGCCTCTGGTGCGCCCATGGAAATTTGGAAATGTTCTTGCCAAAAGGTCGAAAGTGAGTTTGACAAAGATGTAATAAGAAATCCAGAATGCGATTCCACCATCAGATACATAAGAAGGAAAAAAAAATATATATATATATATGGAGAAGGGGGTTGTAGATAGATGGCTCAGCAGTTAACACTTGCTGTTCCCAGGATGCACACAGCAGCGAACAACCCTCCTTTTATCAGGGGACCTGACACCCTCTTCTGGCCTCTATAGGCATTGCATGCATATGGTGCACTTATGTACATGCAGGCAAAACACTCATACACAGAAAATAAAAATAATAAATAAAAACCAGGAGAATTTATAGATTAAGGAATTTCAGAACCCTATCAAACTAAATGTAATATATAGATCTTGCTTGGCATCTGATGCAAACATACAAACTGTTTAGATCTTGTAAGATAAATGTTGTAAGATGAATGGGGATATTTAAACACTGCATGTTTGGCAGTATGTGTATGTATGTACTTTTTAGTGTGGTGTGTGCATGTGCACACATGCATGTGGAGGCCAGAGGCTGATGCTGGGTGTCTTCCTCAATTGCTCTCCACCTTTTTTTTTTTTTTTGAGACAAGATCTCATACTGAACCTGAAGTCCTTGGATTTGGCTAGGCAGGCTGGGGTTACAAGTATATAGTGCCACACCTAGTTTTTAAACACTGGTTCCATAAACTTGGGTCCTCAAGCTTGCTGGGCAGGCACCTTACCAATTGAGCCATCTGCTCAGCCCATGTCTGGCATTTTAAAGTTATTTTTAGGTCTGATAATATAGGGATTCTTTCTTTCTCCTTCTCCCCTTCCTTCCTTCCTTCCTTCCTTCCTTCCTTTCCTTCCTCCCTTTCTTTCTTCCTTCCTCCCTCCCTTTCTCCCTCCCTCCCTCCCTTCCTCTTCCTTCCATCTTTTTTTGAGACAGGGTCTCCCTGTAGCCCCAGCTGTCCTGGAACTCACTATGTAGACCAGGCTGGCCTTAAACTCACAGAGATCCACCTGCCTCTGCCTCCTAGTGCTGGGATTAAAGGTGTGCACCACCACTCCCAGTTTCTTTCTTTTACTCTTTCTCTAATCAATAAGAACAGCAGGATAATTTGCTGTGGGGAGGTGTCCCACTGAAGTCTAAGGTAGTTAGCAACACCCTTGGGCTCTACCCACTAGATGCCAGGAGCACTCCCCTTGTTATCTCCAGATGTTGCCAAACGTCTCTTGGAAAGTAAGAGTGTTCCCCGTGAAGAATCACTATAGAAAATACATCCTAAATATTTATATTTTAGGGACTGCCAAAATAACTCTGGGGGTGTGAGTGGTGGCAGGAGTGTGGACAGTTTTTGAGGCCAGATGGTGGACATGTGGGAGTTTATTATACCATTCCCTCTTGTACATTATTAGTTTTCCATAATAAAAAGTTTAAAACTTGTAATTCAGAATATTATTTGTATTTTCCCAAATCAGCTTTAGCATATTGGATTACACAAGCTTTCTTTAAGCTAGGGGTTATAATTAGAAGTCATCTTGAAAATCTTGGCAAAGTCCCTTGTCTACCTCCCAAGTCTGGGAAAGTGGCTAATCTCATGGCTAGATTATAAATCATTATAAATACAAATTTCTTTCATATCAACCTTTTTTTTGGGGGGGTGCTGGATATAGAACCCAGTGCCTTGAACATGCCAGGCAGCATTCATTCTGAGCCTTCTGTATTTTCTTCAATAAAGCTGGTGGAACCTAGGACACACATACACACACGCACACACAGTGCATGCAAGTTCCTGCACACACACACACACACACACACACACACACACACACACACACACAGAGTGCATGCAAGTTCCTGCAGAGACCAGAAGGCGTCATATCCCATGGATCAGGAGTTCAAGTTAACTTTGGTATCATGAATTAAAGAATAACTTGGGCTACTTGAGACCATCTCAAAAACACCAACCCCTCAAACCCCCAAAAACAAAGTGTCAAAACTTAAAATGCGTGAAAGAGCATATAAGCTTTCCCAAATTCTTCCCAGAGTTAAATGGGCAAAATTGTCCCTAGCCTTGCTGGGATAACTCCCAGCTCAGGAATGGCATTCACTTTGTCTAAGACCATCACTCAGGGTTTGGGACCCTGCTGTTCTGATTTTGCCTGTGGTTAATCTTGTCAACCTGACTGGATTAGGAATCACCTGAGATACATCTCTGCATGTCTTTGGGGAAGTTTCCTGAGAGGTTTAACTGAAGGAAGACCTACCCTGAATGTGGATTCCATGGGCTGCCATCCTGGATAGAATAAAAAGAGCAACGGAGCTGAGCCAGGCATCCCAGCTCTGCTTTCTGGCAGGCACCATGGACCCAACTGCTCCTAGCTGCCATGCCCTCCCACCACCATGGTGCACTGCATTCCTCTGAACCATGAGCCAAAATAAACCCTTCCTCCCTAAAGTTGTCAGGTCACAGCAAGGAGCACAATAACATACATTGCCTGCTACCTTCCTTAATGACAGCCTTTGCTAAGCACCTTTCTAAGACTTCTTTGCAGGATAATCCAGAGCACAAGTTGCTAAACGATTTTGTTTCAACAGCCTTCCAGATGGCGCCATTTTGTCTCATAATTAAAAAGCTGTGGCTCAGCGTGTATGTGGGTTCCTTCCACAAGGGCTCCTGCCAGGGAACCAATGTTCTTAGTATCTCATTCTTTCTCAGAGGTTTAGGGGTCATCAGAGTCACTCACACAGAAATCACCTACACCCTGTCACCTCAAGACAACTTGATTATTGTTGTTTCCTCCTTATTTTATATTCACTCTAATTTTCCACATCTGGCCAGTTTACCAACACAGTAGGCTGCTCAGAGACATGTATTCTTACATAACGTGAGTTCTGGGGATTTGAACTCAGGTCCTCAAGTTTGAATGGCAAGTATTTGTACCCACTGAGCCATGTCCTCAACATCATCCCTGACCCCTTCTTTTATTGAAACTGCTGATTTACTTTTTCTACATCCAACTTTCTCTAGTCTTTCCTGGTGACTTGCACATAACAGAAGCCCCTGAGGGTTACATTATAAAATGTCTGCTTAATACCTGGTGTGTTCTTCATGTATGCTCACACACACAATAAATAAAATTTTAAAAAATATTCTGTGATTTGAAGGCAGGCTTGGTTTGTCTTTTTAAAAAGAACTACAAAGGTGGGGGATTGGCTGGTTTCTGTGGGACTTTTAATGATTTAATCTCACTTTAGTTAGCACTGTTTAGCAGGAACTACTAACAATGAAACTGAGAAAAATAAACACAAACAGGAACAAGTGACCTTTTATTTCATATGGAGATACAAAGGCAATTGTACGAAGCAACAATCTGATGGGCAGTCCAAATTCTTGGGAGGAAGTAAATGCATGGTAAATGTCATGATGGCTGGGCAAAGAGAAGGTCAAAGGAGGAAGCCAAAACAGGAGGCAACAACTAATAAATAACATGAGCACTGCATGATTTCAGTGCACCGACTTGAGACTTGCAGGCAACCTCTGTGCTGTTTAAAACAGGATTCTACAGCTGCCATCAAAATTCCTGAAGAACTGCAGTTGGTACAATTCTATCTAAGAAGTTGTGTTCAGAGAACAGCCATCCTTACAGATAACTGAAACACGTTATTTAAGGCACTGGCAACCCTTATAAACTATTGTCTTGGAGGTGGCCTTTGGGACAGGTGTTTGAGATGGGCATCCTTTTTCTAAGAAAACACCTGATACACTTGTTAGGCCCCATTTTTTAGGTGATGATCATTTTAACAATATCTTTTTTTTTCCTTTTTCTTTTTAATTTTTTCCTTTGAGACAGGGTATAGATATGTAGCCCTGGCTGGCCCTGACTTAATAATCCTGCTGCCTCAGGCTCCTAAGTGCTGGGATTGTAGGTGTGCACTACCATGCCAGGCTGAGCATCTTCCTTTAATCTGAGGAGAACATTTCCAAAATACATTGAAAAACAAGGTCAATGTCCTGGCGAGTCCTTCCTTTGGCATCTGTCTCCCTGCACCTGCTCCCTGAGGGCCTCACCATAGCCTGACCATGTGGACACTGTGAAAAATACTTCTCCATAATTTACATTTCTAAAAGGGATGTGCTACATAATTTGTTACTTATTAAAATAGTTTACTGGCCTTAAATATATACCAGTAAACTGCAATGTTCACTTAATTCTTAATTTTTATGAAAGAAGAATACTGAACCAAAATATAAAATAAATCAGAGGCTTGGTAGCATGATCTACCTATCTTTCTGGATAAACTGATTTTTAAAAAAGGTTTATAAATTTTTACTGAAGGACAAAGGTTTCTAAATTCAATGTTTGGAACTAAATTGTCTTTGACTAAGCTTAAGTCTGGGGTGGGTAGAATAAAGGCAGGAATGTGGGCAGCAAGAGATGTAAATGGGAAAGCTGATTTTAACCAAGTATCAACACAGCTTGGCTGCAGCTCATAAGGTAAGACAGGACCATCTCTACAGAAAAATCGTAGAGCTTTAGCTATAGGAAAGTTTCAAGAATTCAGATATACAGATAACTCAATTAAAAAACAATACCTTTTCAGAGTGTTTAAAGCATTATATAAATCTTTAAAATTCCTACTGCTCACATTTTAAGAAATAAATCTATATTTTAATAAGGCACTCTTGGAAGACAGAAACAGTTTTGAAAATAGTTTCATTCTATACTAGGGTGAACCAGCTCTCTGCTGAGGGGATGGAGTGGTCCACTGTCCTTGAATGGAGTTCAATGCACTGGTGTGAGCAGGTGGGCAGCTTAGCTTACTCTCCATCTCCCTCAGGAGGTGAGTATGACCAGTGGGATGCTCACTTGCTGGGGAGGGTGCTACACAAACAGCACTGCCCAGGTTTAATGGTGAAGGCTAAAAGCAGTAGCTCCTTTTTCCTAAAGTTGCTTCGTTTGACGACAGAACAGTAACTTTTATTAGTTCTGCCTATAAACGAAGAGAGAACAGAAGATGATCCCAGACCGTCTTCATCTTTGATGGACTGTCTTAACTGCAAATCTTACGTGCATGTGTGTTATTACTGCTCACACTTTCATGCCTAAACAAGGATTTCAATCCCACCATCCTTATTCTAAGAAAACAAACACCAAAGTTTACAAAAGAGTAACACCATGGTCAAAGGCTGTAACAGAAAGGGATTTGGTGGAGCTTCCACTCTTTCCTAAGTGATGAAAGAAAATGAGGGAAGTGGGGTCAGACTAAGCCTGAAATATAATTTCACTATGAAAAGAGGGCACTGAATGTCCTGTCAGAAGAGGGCACTTCAAAATGAGGCATCAGGAATGTACGCGATCAAGGCACTGCTGGGCTGGATATCTTTGCTTCCAAGGATTAAGAAGAACCCCAGAAAGGCTGCTGTGAGGTGTCACTTTCCCACCTTCTGCTAGGCTGGCAGCAAATGACTGATTACTTCCCGTAGAACTTTTTGTTGAGGAGGAAGATCAGGAGGTTGACGTTTACTTTTGCTCTGTCAAATAACTTCATAACTGCGACTCCCTCATACTGCAGCTGCAGCAGGTCCTATTTAAAAACAACATTTTGACAATCAGGCAAATCCAGAACGAGACTAGAAAGGCAACTGTGTAGGGAGGGGTCTAGGAGGAATGAGGCATGCTTTCTGCACCAGATGTGAAGTGGGCTGAGACACAAGTTCCTGCACAAATATCCTGGCAGCTGGAGCAACAGAGCATGCTGGCTGATGGAACTTTCTGGTTAATTTGATGTTAGGGAGTCACTTATGAGTAAAATATACCAAATATAGAAAGAAAAAAGAGGTATGTTCAGTTAAAGCAATGTTAGTTATGATGTGCGTCATGAAATCATTTCACGTTTATTTAATTAACATGCTTTGAGAGGCTACTGGTTATAGGGAAGGAAATGAAGATGACTAAGACATACTATCTGTCTCAGGAGTTCACAGTTTTGGGGGTGGCAGGGAAATGAGTCAACATGTACTATAAACAGAGGATATCTCTCAGGGCTACTGAGGCAAAGGGAAGACGGCTCTTATGGCTGTGCTGGGGAGGGCTTTGGACGGTAACCCACATGCAAATGCTTGCTGTCTGATGGAGGCAGAAGAGGGGTGGGGCGGGGAGGAGGACCACCAATTAACAGGGACCACTTGCTCACAGAAAGGCACCTGCTGAGTTTGATAGAGTGCAGCAGTGTGAAGCAGGGCAGGAGATGAAACGGGACTGCCTGTCAGGGATGGGTACAGCTCAGGGACAGAATACGTGCCAGGCCCTAGGTTTGATTCCTAGCTCTGCAAAAACAAATAAGCAAGACCCCAAGAGGCCTACAAAATGGCGCACACACAAAGCTAAAGAGATCTGGACGTTGCTTATGAATTCCATTTTCTGATTATTTTTGCTCCTGGATATTTTGAGACAGTGTCTCACTATCTAGACTGGGCTGGGTCACAAAAGCAGTTTAGTCTGGCTCATACACTAACCCTCCTGCCTCTGCCTCCTGAGTGCTAGAATTACTGGTGTGTGTCATCCCCATTGGGTATTTTTAATGTGCAAAAATTAGATATGAGAGTTGGGTGTGGTACTGTATGCCTTTAATACCAGTACTCAGGAGACAGAGGCAGGCAGCTCTCTGTGAGAATCTACATAGAGAGTTCCTGGCTAGCTAGGACTACAGGGAGACCCTGTCTCAAAACAAAACAAAACAAACAAAATACTCCAAATAAAACGCATTTGAGATAAAGAACTACAGCTCTTTTTGCATTTAAAATAGGATTCAGGTTAACAAAGATGCAGCTTATACACATTTTCACAAATACACATGACTTTTTAAAGTACCCATAGCAAATCCAAATGGGAGAGAAAATACCAAAAAAAGAGTTTATGCTACTGAGCAGACATACAGCTTCACACTGTCAACTCTGCTTAGGCATGTCCTTCCAGGCCAGGGTACCAGCTCACTTCAGTGATGCGCATGAGTAAAGCTTCGGGTACCCTGAAGCTCACACACCTTGGAAAAGTCTCACAGGCCGCAGGCCACGCCACACTCCACTCCACAAACCCTAGGTTTCTTTCAAAAATTCTGCGCTGAGCTCTGCGCGCATGGGCAGCCTTCCCCAAAGGGTCCTCTTTATCTTCTCCTACCTTGATGAGGACACAACTACCGCATCAGAGAGATTTAGGTCAGAGCCAGTGTGTACCCACCTGGTAATGCAACATGAAAGTCTCCATCTGAACTCCCATGAACTTGGCTTTCACTTCAAAGTCTCCAACTTCTTCTGTTGGACCGATTTCAAAGATAACGTTTTTAAACCTGTTGAAACACAACATCACACGGGTGTGCTATTACATTCTCAGAGAATAATACTTGTGAGATGGGGAGGGGGGCACCAAATGTTCCTGGTAGCAGGTACAGAACCAAAGTCCTCCTGTAGGTGAGGCAGTGTGGGGGCAGGTCACCTGGCCACATCCTTGGCTTTGGGAAGTGGAGAGAGGATGGCCACTTCTCCCTGAAGCGCTTGCATTCTACTGAACAGAAGCCTCTGGAGAATGTATAATGGCTGTGAAGGGTGACTCCAGAGAATTCTGCTGGCCTTCCATGTAGCCACTATAGAAGTTTAATGATAAAAGGAGGAAAAGGAAGAAAGTGGCCTGGAAACAGAGTGAGGGGAGTTGGAATGCATGCATGCTGGAGGACTGGGCAGGGGTGAGTAAGCAAAGGGGTCAGTAAAAAGGCACAAGTTGGGCTTCTCTGGATCAGTATGTGCTCTGGACTTGGCGTACTGAGTACAGCCTGCTGTGTGGCCAAATGTCACATGGTACCAGAAGGAAGTAGGAGAACAAAGTGCATCACCCCCAGATTTCCAGGACTCTGTCACAGAGTTAAGTCACAGAGCTGAAGACCATGAGGAACACAGAAGAGGGCACCAAGGAGTTTAAAGGGAGCTCCAGAACCCATGATGGCAAATTGGCTGGTTTCACTTGACTCGACTGGAGTGCTTCCTTCCTAAGTTATTTCCTAAAGATAATTGTTTCAATGGGTATGGTGACACATACTCAGGAGGTAGAGACAGGAGGATCTCTGTGAGTTCAAGGCTAGCCTGGTCTACATAGCAAATTCCAGGCCAGCTGGAGCTGCAGGGAAACCCTGGTTCAAAAAGACAAAAAAAAAAAAAGATAATTGTTTCATGTAGTAATTGATGGACTTGGTGGGTTATCTGATTTCTAAGCCCACAGCAGCAAATCAGAAAGAAGAGAAGCAAAGAGAGTTTGCATTCAAATAACAGCGTAAAATAAGGAAAGAAGAGAAGAAGCAATGACACAAATGAAAAAACTGCATAAAGTGCAGAAATAAAAAACCCCCAAACACCTACCAAAAAACCCCCCAAAATACAGAGGTTGAAAAACTGACAAAGGAAATACAGATGATGAGTCCCACCCAAACGAAACCCCAAAAAGACCCATCAAAAACCTAACACCCCAATCAGAAATCTGAAAAAAACAGAAATTTAAAGTTTTTTTTGTTTTGTTTTGTTTTTTATGCTTTTGAGACAGGATCTTTCTGTAGCCCCAGCTGGCCTGGAACTCACTATGTAGACTATAGACTGGCCTTGAACTCACAGAGATCCGCCTGCCTCTGCTTTCTGAGTGCTGGGATGAAAGGCGTGTGCCACCATGCCCAGCCTAAGATTTTTTAAAGAGGGTCTCACTCACTATGTAGCCCTGGTTGGCCGAGAACTGGCCATGTAGACCAGGGTGGCCTCAAACTCAGCAATCTGCCTGCCTCTGCCTCACCACACCTGACTTAAAGAGCTATTTTTAAACTACTGAACTGAAAAGGATCCAGTTATCCTACAGGTTCATGGCAGGAGGCAGTGAGGAAACTTTTGCACACATACAGTTCAGCACTATGAGAACTGTTCTGGCAGCGATACAGCAACATATTTTGTAACCACTATGGAGAACAGTCTAGCAGCTCCTCAAAAAACTAAAACCAGAGGCTGGAGAGATGGCTCAGCAGCTAAGAGAAATAGCTGCCCTTGCAGAGGACCTGAGTTTGGTTCCCAGCACCCACGTGTTGGCTCACAACTGTCCAAAACTCCAGTTCCAGGGGCTCTTCAGGCCTCTGTGGGCACTGTATATACATGATGTCCTTATGTACATGCAAGCAAAACACTCATACACATATAAAATTTTAAATATATTAAAAAAAAAAACTTGAACTACTACTTGATCCAGTATCCCACACCTGGGTATATACCCAGAGACTTGAGAGTAGGGTCTCAAGATGTCTGCACCTGTGTGCAGCACTTCTCACAATAGCTATGAGGTAGAAACAGTGCCTGTGTCCATCAGTGCATGAGTGGTTCAACAAAAAAAGGTACATATAAACAATGGAATATTATTCAGCCTTAAAAATGAAGGAAATCAGCCAGGTGTGGTGGCACACGCCTGTAGGCCCAGCACTTGGGAGTCAGAGGCAGGTGGATATCTGTGAGTTCAAGGCCAGCCTGGTCTACATAGTGAGTTCCAGGCCAGCTGGGGCTAAAAGGAGACCCTGTCTCAAAAAGACAAAAAAAAAAAACAAAAAACAAAACCAAGTATAATAATGTAATAGAAAAAGTATAATTAAGTGTCTTAAAATAGGTCAAGATATGGAATATTATAAAGCCATTACAAAGAATGCTTTCAAAAAGTATATAAAATTCTCACCAGGCATGGCGGCACACCTTTAATCCCAGAACTCAGGCGGCAGAGGCAGGCGGATCTCTGTGAGTTCAAGGCCAGCCTGGCCTACATAGTGAGTTCCAGGACAGCTGGGGCTACAGGGAGACCCTGTCTAAAAAAAAAAAAAAAAAAAAAAGTTGGATACATGAAACAAAAATGAGGCAGTAGATTAAGTAGGTATGTGGACAGATAATCTTTCTGTGAATAAAGCTATAGAAGAAACTATGTTAAAATGATTGCAGTGGTCACCTCTGGCTTGTAGGATCCTTGGGGACTCTTCCTCATGCTCTGCCCTATTTTCAAAGGTCAACCATGTATACATACTTCAGAATCAGAAAAGCATACGTTTCTTCTTAAACAGGCATGAGAAGGGAAAGGTCAGCCATCCAAACTCTAGGCTGACAAGTGGATGCTCAGTAGATACTTTCTAGCAATGCCAGCCCGAGGGCTGCAGAGGATGCTAGGAACCATGTGAAAGTAAGCTGGGGCTTCCCAGGATGAAGGAGGGTTATACACAAGGAACAATGTAAATGCTGCTTGTGCTCATCTGTTCTTGGTTCAGACATAAGAAAATGAAGGGACAGCTCCGTGCTTCTGAGAGGGTTAAGATGGGATGTACACACGACTAACATGCCCTAGGATAAATGTTCTACAAATGAGGGAAAGAAATGCAAAGTTGGGTGGCAAGACAACCCAGGGAGAGAAGTGTCTGTCTTGGTGCCTGAAGACATGAGTTCCATCCTCAGCAGCCACGTGATAGAAGGAGAGAACTGAATCCCATTGAGTTTGTCCTCGGCTCTCTATGGGTGCATCATGACATTCATATACACACAAATGTAATAAAAAACGCATTCTCTTTTATGTTTATAATGCCTAATTCTGCACATTAGAAATAAATGTATAGCTAGCCATGGTAGCACACACCTTTAATCCCAGCCTGGTCTACCTATCGAGTTCCAGGTCAGCTTGGGCTCCAAGGGAGACCCTGCCTCAAAAAACAAAAACAAAAACAAAACACCCCCAAACATACAAATGTATAAAATACATAAAGGAGCCATCTAGAAAGAGAAGCAAGAAGATGATGTGATGAAAGCAAAAAAAATTTTTTTTAAACAAAGCTTGTAAAATAAAGTGGAAATGTGGGAGCTGAAGCGATGGCTCAGCAGGTAAAAGTGCCTGCTATTCAAGCATGAGGACCTGAGTTCGGATCCCCAGCACCCTGTAAAAATCTGGGCAGAGCAGCGGAAGCACTGAGTGGTGGATACAGGCAGACCCCAAAAGCCGCCAGCTAGCCCAGCAGAGTCAGTGAGCTTCAGATTCTGTAAGAGACCTTTCCTCAGAAGATGAGGTGAACCCCAAAAGAGGAAGAAGACACCTGACACTGACCTCTATGTGTACACACACATGTGCACGTTCACTAGTCCATACATACACATGCACACATTCACAGAAAAAGAAAACAAAAAGGAGATACTCACTGATTGGCTTGTAGGTCCTCAATTTCCAGAAGAACGCCTTTCTCATGTAGTCTTGCTGCTGTGTATTTCAGAGAAATCTTTTTGCTTTTCTTTCCTTTCATTTCCCTAGGTTTTTTTGAGACTCTGTAAAAGAAAAGAAATTAAAAGACACTATGCTACTTGCCACTTTCTCTGAGTAGCTATTTACGAGTCCCTAGTATTTCCTGGATGAGGTCAGTAGCAGAAGCGAAAGTAGTGGGCCAAATCTAAATGGTAGACAAATGTCAGCACTGGCCAAGCAACCTCTGCAAATGGGGAGCGTCACTGAGCTGCCTCTGCATTAGTTTAAACTGTATTTGAGAACCAGGACATGAATGTGGTGGTACGTCAGTGCTTCCACGTCCTTCTTGAGTCTGGACAGCAAACAAGCCCATGTGAGGAGCTGGCAAGATGGCTCAGTGGGGAAGTGTTTCTTTTGTAAGCTTGATGACCCAAGTTTGAACCCTGAAATCCATGTAAAAAGCCAGATACAGTGGCATGCATCTGTAATTCCAATGTTCCTACAGGAAGACTGGAGGGTCCTATATCAAGACTGGAGGCGGAAACAGATTACCTAGAAGCTTGTGGGCCAGCTAGCCTGGAGTATGCAGCACAGAACAAGAGACCTTGCTTCAACAAGGTAGAAGACAAGAACACCCCACAGTAGTCCTCTGACCTACACACATGTGCTATAACATGAGCACATACACAAGAGATACACACACACATAAAAAAACAAAAAAAAACACTAGAGAGGGGAAGTCAGGAGGACTAAAAATTCAAGGCCAGTGTTGGGTACATGGTAAGTTTCCCACCCTGGACTACATGAGACTCTGTTGGAGGAAAAAAAAAAAAAAAAAAGTCATGACTAGCCTCAGCTTTGCAAGGAAAAGATAATTTCATATAACTTTTTAAGAGAGATTAGTTAAGGGGCTGGAGAGATGGCTCAGTGGTTAAGAGCACTGACTGCTCTTGCAGAGGACCCAGGTTTGATTCCCAGCACGCACATGGTGACTACGAACCATTCTTAACTCCAGTTCCAGGGGAATCCGAAGCCCTCTTCTGACCTCCGCAGCATTGCATGAGACGAGTGCACTCACATAGGCAATACACTCGCACACGTAAAATAAAAACAATAAATAAAATATTTTTTAAAAAGAGAGAGATTAGTAAGAGCACATACTGCTCGTCCAGATGATAGTTCTCAGAACCCATGTCAGGCAGCTCACAATCACCTGTAACTCTGCTCTAGGATCACACAAAGAAAAAAAGAGTTGATGGCAGCATAGCAGTTACAAAGGGAAGCTAAGGAAAAAGAAACAAACATTAACAGTCTATTAGGATAATTATAATTAAGGAAATAAGAAAAGGGAAGAAGAGAGGTAAATGTGATCTGGGAATACTGAATGATCACATTCCATGAGTCTAATTTCTAGGCTAAGACAATTATTTTAGAACAGTAGGTGCTTAGGAAGAAGCATCCTTAAATCCCTTCCTGGTCCCGATACTGCACTAAGAAACATAACCAGGCGACTACACAGACAATAAAGAGCTAATGTAGTAAATAGGTCCTGGGTGCTTTAGCAAAAAATGTTCAGTGTTGGGCTGGCAAGATAGCTCACTGGGTAAAAGTACTTGCTGCCCAGGCCTTGACAATTCTGAGTTCAATTCTTGGAAGCCATGGTAAACAGGGATAACTGACCTCTGAAAGGTGTCCTTTGACCTCCACACATGCACTGCTCTCTCCCCACACTAATAATAACAAATAAAATAAAAATTAAGCTTTTTTTTTTCAATGTTACTTCAGTAGTTGCTTCTTCTTTTTCCCCACCCCAATTCTTTCCCTGGGTTATTATTATTTTTAAACAGTCACTTCCAGGCTGGAGAGAGAGCTCAGCAGTTAAGAGCACTGACTGCTCTTACAGAAGACCTGGGTTTGATTCCCAGCACCCATATGGCAGCTAACAACTGTTCCCCTGGCAGTTCCAGAGGAATCTGTTGCCCTCTTCTGACCTCCGTGAGCATTGTACAACACGGGTGCACTTACATACAGGCAGGCAATACACTCATACACAGAACTAAAAATAATAATATTTCAAAACTAAAATACTCACTTGCCCTTGCTGGCTAAGTTATCCAAGCAGGTTTTGATATAGCTTTTATAGTAATCCACCTGCTCTCCATAAAAGGTAGCCTTAGAGTTCAGAGCTGCATAGGTCTGCTGCAGTTTCACCAGTTCTGCTTTCCTCCTCTGTCGGTATCTCCGCTGATTTCGGATATCCTGAGGCACAATTATTAAAATTAGGAAAATAACGATAAGCTGCCCAAGCCTTTTGAACCATCATTGTTCACTGACATTAAAACTCAGCCTTGGTTAACTCTGCCTTTAAACATGCTGGCCATTCTTAACAGGCAGCAAGAAATCAGTGTTCACAAATGAAATGAAATTCAGCATTCATCCACTTGTATTCTCTGAGCAATAGGGAAGCATGCTCTCAGATGTTCAGATGTTTAGATCTCTTAAATATGCTATCTGGGCAGAAGAAAAAAAAAAATAGAAACAGTTCCTAGGTATACTGTTCATGGCATTATCTTAGTGTGATTAACAGAGAGGGCCTGAAACTCTGAGCATCCTATTGAGATGGTTTACACAAACCAAGTTGACGACCAGCTTCATATATCATACAGCAACTAAAAAAAAAAGAAGATCTGAAGAATTGTTTAGGGGCAAAGAAAAACTCAGACACAGGAAACAATAGTTAAGGGTCTCTCCCAGTTAATTTAGGCCATATAATAAACCACCTCAGATGGGTGAGGTCCTGAGAGTCAGACTGGGTTTCTCAGAGTGCACTGATTGGCCCATGAGCAGCCATGCTGTGGTCTGAGCAGCTACTGTTCCTTCCTGAGAGTCTGAAGCAGCTGTAAGCAAGGCCAAGCCACTACTGTTCCCAGATGTGGTACCCTGGCAATGTCGTTGATGAGCTCCTGGTATCTGTTCTTTGGGTCCACGGTCCCAAGTTCCGTTAGCTTCTTCAAGCCTGCCTGGATCTTCTCCTTCTTCTCCTGGAGGCTGAGATTATTATCTTCCTTTATTGATTTTGACTTTTTCATCTTGTCAGGGGTTTTGGCATCCCGGATAGCACGTCTCTGCATGGCCCTCTGATGTTCAGCTTCCTACAGATTAAAAAAAACTTCTTGGTAACTCCACTATAGCACCCCTACACTTGGGTATATATAGCATATCTGCATTTGAATTTATGGAGCTCCCAAATCCCACTATAGAAACAGGAACATATTTTGTCTCTCTACCAAATGACAGATAAGAAATGGTGCAAAGCAGAGACAATCCATTCTACCCAGCAGAGAGGACATCTGCGAATGAAGTTTGCTCAGAGATTCCTGGACACTAGGACAGTAAGGTGACTAGACTCTATTGGCTACAAAACTTATTCT